TTCTTGTGGTTTGCCTTAACAGGGGCATAAGAGAGAACTCCTTTTCTGTGGCTATGTCTACACTGCACATCACTGGCGGCGGTATGTAGGGTATGTTTTTATACACACTAGGGATGTCTACGTGTAGTTGACTGTACGATTAACTGATAAGCCTAGGCTTATCTCTTAATCTTCTCGACTACATGCATTTCTTTCCCTCCCCCACCTCCCCCGCTGTCTCTATATCAGAGGCAGCAGCGGGTGGTAGCAGGCAACCTGTCTGTGCAGGGAGTTTTTTTTAAATTGGCTCCCCTCGCAGCCCAACCCCCTGCCGCCCTATGCTACTGCCTCTGACACAGTGAGCAGTGTGGGGCGGCAGAGGGCTCCCCAGGAGTGGGGTTGGGAACGCACTGGCACCTGCCCCTAGGGACTATCAAATAGTTGTGTAACTGCAAAAATTTCATGTGTTTACATGACTATTCAGTTACCTGACATCTAACATCCCTAATACCCACCACAGTGAAAACTAGTTTGCGTATCCTTTCAACCGTGTAGCAACATGCTTCCATGACAGGCTCTGGCAGGAGGAAGCAGCAAGGAAAGTCTTCACAATGGGGAGCTGTTAGAGCTTTGTCTGCTGCTCGAGCCTTTCCCTGTGGCAGGGGAAAGGCTGAGGCATTGGGGAAATTACGCTGCTGAAAATAGGAATGTAATTGGTTAACCTTCATGGTTACATGCAGGCCACACCCTCCCTGTGTGTGTTAATGTGTAACTGCTGACAAAATCAGCGATTACATGTTTACCAAAATAAACACATTTTTATATCCCTACTAAAAGTAGTGCTGAAGTAGACACACTGCTTGAGCGAATAGAGTACATACTCATGGGTTTCAGGTATGTCTTTAGTCCACTTGCCTAAGCATTGCCCCTGTCGTATATAATGCTGTTGAAATTTGTGTGGGTCATGTAATGCATGTGCTCTACACACCACTGAAAGGTGTATGTGGTGTAGACAGATCACAGACTGTAAGTTTCCAGCTGTATGTTACAATTTTGAAACCAAAGATCCTCCAAAATCAGATTTGTCACTTGTAAGTTTTGAGTAAAACAAGTCATTCGTTATCTAAACTTGTTCTATTCAAACTGAGAGATAATACAAATAAGATTTTAAGAATTAATGTATGATCTGTAACGTCCTTCCCCAGGGGGAGTGAGCCCCAAAGCAGGAACCCAGCCCCCTTCTCCAAAGTTGCTGGCCCTCTTGGGCCCTACCAGGCTCCCGTGCTGAGGGCAGCCAGCCCCCTGGCTGTGAACCCGGCTGTGCTCTTCGCAAATGGGACCCTGCCATCTCCAGTGACCAGCACAGCCAGGCTGCTGTGGTCCTGATTCTCACCGGGCCTGCCCTGGCCCTGTCTCAGCCTTTTCCTGAGGCCTGACTGCGGGGGCTGGCGGTGCTGTGAGCACGCCTGGAGGAATCAATGTATGATCTGTAGCTACCACCTAGTGGTGAAACTCTTTAAGTTGCACTAGGAGTTATGTTTCAGAGAGGTAGCCATGTTAGTCTTGCAGCAAAAAATGAGCCTCGTGGCTCTTTAAAGATTAAGAGATTTATTGAGCTATTAGGGCAGAAGCTTGTGTGAGAGAGAACTCATGAAAGCTCCCCTAATTCATTTGTAGTCTTTAAAGAGCCACCAAACTCGTTGTTGTTGTTGTTTTGTTCATTGAAAGTCATGTTTTCAAGCCATCTAGTGGCCATGTCTGTATTTTTATAAAAGGGGAGAAAAAACTTCAATGCCAGTATATTTATTTTAAAAAAAACCATATAATCTGGAGTTCTAAATAAGCAAACACATTTCCTTGTAGAAATATAAATAGAGCATATGCTGGTAATGGTACATTGCAGGAGTAAAATAGTGATTCATATAAATTAAACTGATAGCAGAATGTAGAATAAATACTTCATAGAAGAATCAAAAAACAGGACTATGTAGCACTTTAAAGACTAACAAGATGGTTTATTAGGTGATGAGCTTCCATGGGCCAGATCTGAGGAAGTGGGGTCTGGCCCACAAAAGCTCATCACCTAATAAACCATCTTGTTAGTCTTTAAAGTGCTACATAGTCTGGTGTAGCTGAATCAAAAAACAGGACTAACGGCTACATTTCTATCACTATGCTTCGTAGAAGTAACTGCTGCCTTTCCTTGTTAACTCCCATTTCTCACTTTTTTTTTAAGTAACACCTTATTTTTATACTGTAAAATTCCAGAAGCTTCCTAGCTGAATAGCACATCTGGACATAAATTAAAAGTAATACTGAACACAATTTATTTTTTCTTCATCCAAAATACATAGCAAAAATGTATGTGTCTCCAAGTGAGTTTATTTTAGGATTCCATATTAATGTTAGTTTGGTTATACTTTGAATTCCACATTCAAATATATTAGCCAAAAGTAAGATGGTATAAGGGTAGAAATGACCAAATATGATGGTCAGGATTAGTCATGTTAAGAAACTTGGCAGTAGTTTGGAACAATAAATTAGCCAATCAGACCAGATTGTCCAAATGTAGATAGAAAATTGGCACATACTTATAAAGGAAAATGCTGATGTTAATGAATATAAATGAATAACAAGAGAAAAATGCAAGGCAATGAGACTCTAAGGCACATTTTAACACAATTGGGAATGCCTCTTAGGCATTCCCACAATTTTTACAGTTTGTATTTCTGGTTATCTTAAGCTCAAGAAGAGTGGCTAGATTTTGTTTGAGTAGCGTCCCTATGGGTGCTCCACTTCAGGTGTATGTGTAACCCATGTACCTTCTATTAGAGATATTTGACAGCAATGCTCATTCAGTCCGCCCATGCATGCAAGGTATCCTCTTCGCCTGTGCAGAGAGTATTTAGAACTGTGACAGCTGAATTGCCCCAAGTTTCTTCTCATCCATGTTGGGAAAGGTGGAGCATGCATAGTACTCAGTACTTGCCTAGTGATATCTCACATACTGGGAGTTTCCAGTTTACGATGGCAGTTTTCAGAGATTCACAGATGCTTTCAGACAGGAAACAGTGCAAAGTTGAAAATCTCTATTCGTTTTAAGAGCTGCTTCAGAAGGGACAAGGAGATATAACAGACCACACATTTCCACCCTGCCTAGTACAGTGGCTTTATTGATCTCAGTCAGACCCCTTAGTATTTACAACCTCCACTATCTCTAGTACCTCCCCTGTCACTGGTATTCCCTGGTTCTCTGATGCCCATGCATATGGACAGACAAATAATCACTCCTCTTTTGTCTGTCCCTCCATGAGAGACTATGCATCAGAGCTCTTCAGACTCTCAGGCCTTCTCTACATTGTCATGTTTTGTGGAGAAACTGTCTTTTCTCAAACTTCTGAGCTTCCATATTACAGCATGACAAATGTCATGACATGTGGCTGTTTTTCGTGACCGAAAACTTCTCCCTCCACAAGGGATTCTAGTGTACACTCTTGACAATTATGCAGTATGTGTCAAACAAGATTTTTGTTGAGTTGATTGGACTCCAGCATGCATCCTGCAATGCCCTGTTTGGCTACTCTGGGCATCCGCTCGTCTTTAAGCGCGTAATGTTTACAGGTAAAGAGATGCTCCCCTCCTACCTGCAAACCCTGGGAAAATTAAAACCATTGTGTAATGGTCTTCATGGTGTCTTCTCAAGGAAACAGGGCTGGTAGCGTTAAAATGATCCCCTGCTTGGATCATTGCAGAGTTTTTGGATCTAATCAGTGTGTGGGGTGAAGATTTGGTGCAATTGGAACTGCAAGTCTCCTGTAAGAACTGGGGCATATATGGTCATATTTCTTGAGTGCTGTGTGCCAGCAGGGGTATGAGCAAGACACCTTACAGTGCAGTGCCAAGGTCAAATAGCTCCAGCAGGCTTACCACAAGGCAAAGGAGGCAAACCGACAGTCTGATGCATCCAAAACATGCCAGTTTCATAAAGAACTGGATGGAATTCTGACTGGGGACCTCATG